AATCATCAAATTGCTATTTTTATAATTTCGATATTTTCTTTTAGAATTGGTAAAATTTTAAGCTGGTTGTTTCCCTCGGGGAAAAATATGTATTCGAGAATATTTTGGATATTTGCAATTTTTATTCATTTTGCATATAATATTCAATGTTTTAAGGTATTTTATTTTCTTCTTCTTCTTCTAGCCGCTTTCAACATTACTGGTTAGGTTGGTTCCGCTGGCTACAACAGTAAGACATCTCCAAGCCTCTATTTTATTTTCTAATTTAAATCAATTTTATCAATTTTATTAAAATTTTATTATTTTATTAAAATTTTATTAGAATATACAGATTTTTGCATATTTTACTGATGCATCTTTTTGGTACAGCATTATTCTGATAAAATCACTTATTCTTCACATTATGGTGATGAAAGGCGGAAATGTTATTTTATGTGAACCAAGGAGAAAATCGCTAGAGAAGAAGCATAGGATGAACGCTGAAGGGAATATCTAAAATTTAAGAAAAAAACACCAGTCCATTATTCACTAAGTTCCACTAACTCTATAGCGCCATACCAGATGACTACTATTCATCTTATTTTTCTTTTGCTTTCTAAAACCATTTTTTCTCAAAAGTTTCGATGAAAATTTTCTTTTTTTAGTCCTATTCTTGAACATTGATGTTAAGACGTTTTATTCTGTACTTCTTTAGAATGAATCTCTTTAAATTCTCATTAAATATGAATGAAAAAAATTCGACTTCCTTTCATTTATGAGAAAAATATGGTAGCTTGACTGAGTGATAAATTGCTGAGGTTTTCATATATTACGGTTCCACATCTCTGCCAGGAACAAAACCAAGAAAAATCATATGCGGATGGTGCTGACAACTCACATGCAAATCAGCCTTCTCTAGCGAAAGAATCTCATTCGAGTAGCCAATCAAACGAGGATAAAGGGAATAGAATTGTTGAAATTCTATTCTTAGCAGTAAACCTGCCCAAAAATTCAAGTAATGATGGCTACTCACCTGTGCTTCTATCGCCAAGGGACTCCCTGGCATATTTGTCTTGTATGGAAAACCAGTGGAGCGAATCTAACCAGTAATGGGGAGCACAAGAAAAGGATGGTGAAGTGGTACTGAACAAGCAAGGGATGATGATGAATAACATCTCCAATGGTCATTTATAGTGAGCAATATCTCTAATGGTTATTATTTTATTTCTTATTATATATGTTAATCATTCCATTATTACATTTTAGACAATTGCAAGAAATGGACAAATAATTGCGGACGCAGTAATACAACCGATAAAAAAATCAGGTGTAACAGGATATGTCAAATTTATGCAGGTGAAATTTTCATATCCTAATTCATTTGAATTAAGATTTTTTTCAATTTTTTTCATTTTGATAATTTTCGATTTTTAACAGAATAAAGAAAATGCTCCAACAATAATTACGGGGCAAATAAGAGGACTCTCTCCAGGCAAACACGCTTTTCATATTCATGAACATGGTGATTTGAGCAGAGACTGCCTCGCTGCTGGTCCGCCTTATAATCCTATCAACGAAACGCATGGAGGTCCACTTGTGAGTGTAAACTTTTATTTTTCATCTAGGCAATTTTCCTCATCTATTCCATAATACGTTAAAGATATTACTTTCTGGATAATCAACTCAACTGAAACATGGATTTCGAGATTGCTTTTCTTTTCAGAATCGAATGCGACATGTCAGCAATCTTGGTAATGTATTTGCCAATGTCAATGGAATCGCCACTATTTACATTACTGCACCTCTCATCCAGGTTTATATTTATATTTACTGCTCCCCTAATCCAGGTTTCTTTTTTCCATGCGTTCTCTTTTTCAACAAAATCTATAACGAGGCAAATTTTTAAGCAACGTTTAGGTCGACAATTGGTGAATTCCTAAATTTTTAATAATAATATCCCTATCGCGCAATTAAATCTTTTTTTCCCGTAAATAAATTTTTTTTTCTTAGTTTCAAAGAATGTTTTTTAGGCTTAAAAGCTTGGCTCACGAAAGTCCACAAAAGATTTCTATCATTTGGCATAAAACGACAATTGATTTTTTGTTTTTTGAGTAAATCCAGTGAATTCATAATGAAACACGCTTTAATAGGCTAAATTTTATTGATAGCCAATAATTTTCGTAAAATATTTATCAAAATTTGCGAATAGCCCAAGCGAAATAATTTTTTATTATGATTTAATGCTTTTATAAATTCTTCTTCAGCTTCGAGGTCCGATATCAGTAATCGGACGCACTATTGTTGTGCATATGAATAGCGATGATCTTGGATTAGGCACGACAGAAGCGCAAGCAACAAGTCAATTAACTGGAAATGCTGGACAACGCATTGGTTGTGGTGTTATAAAGCGGCGATTCGGCTATAGAAATATGCCTCATTGAAATCTTCATTAATAATTTTCAACTAAATTCTTAGAACTAAATATTCAATACTAAATATTCAACTAAATATTCATTGATAATCACTTTGTTAACAATCATTTTTTAAGTTGAAAATTTTAAGTTGCAACTCTGATATGATATTTTTGAAATTTTAAATAAATTTTCGAATCTGTTCTCAAATCTTTTCCCAATTTTTAGTTATATAATTGCCGTGGAATAACAAAAATACGAATGGAAATAATAAAGAACTAAATATTTTCAAAAAAAAATCAGAAACGAAAAATTATAGATTGAGTAATTTAGAAGGATTTTTGTGATCATTTTTTACAGCTATATTACCTAATTTTTTTTCTTTTAATGATTTCTTCAAATAAAAAATTTATCTAATTTCTTCTTCAAAATAAGTATTTGATATTTTACCTATAGTTTATCTAAGTATAAAGAAAATGCTTAAAAATTTTATAATGTTTGTTGCGTTTCTTTTCTTTTAAAAAATTATTGTGTTTTTCGCTGTTTTATGCCTCAAAATTAGTCGATTTTTGCTAATTATAAAAAAAATAAAATAAAATTGTCATCGAATTAGAAATTTGCTAATAAAAAATCATAAAAATAAATAAAATTTAACTATATAAAAAATTTGTTTACCTTTTTATTCTAGTGGCCCTGGGGCATTTCACTCACAAATCGATTTGGGACTTTGCTGATTATCTGAATTCACTCATACTAAGTCAACTTTAAAGTGATTTTTTTGCCTAGGGGGCGAGCGAACTTAACTAAAAATTATGAATATTAACTCCTTGTAGAATTTAATTACGTAATTCTGTTGTATTTTAGGGGCTCTGTCTAATAGGGCTAGGGCTTTTTTCTAATAGTATTACACATGTCTTATAAGGCTACCTTTTTGATTTGTCTGGCCAAACTGCTGCAACTATTGTGATTACATGGCTGAAAAAATTAAGCAGATTATGAGAAGGCTCGAATTAAATAAGATTTGCTTTAGTTGATTTGATATAATATGATGCTGAATTGGGCGACAATATCATATCAACCAGAAATGATGCTTCGTTAAAATGGAGAAGTAATAACTGATGAAACAGTTAAAAAAAAATTTAAGAACACCTAAGGCCGGTTTTTTTGCAAATAAAAA